CATCACGGAGGCGTATCGGTGGATACCGGTGGGCCAGACTTCACGTGAAGGCAGGGCGACCAGCTTGCGTCTGGAGTGCCAGCTGATGGCAGCCATAGAATCGCCCAGCTACGTGTTCTGGTATCGCGAGGCGCGCATGATAAACTACGACAACGAACCCGGCGTTAGATTCGAGCTCAGGAGAAACGGCTCCGTGCTCGTTGTGGAGAAGGTGAAGCTCTCACATGGCGCAAATTACACATGTTGGCCGAGCAATGCCAGGCCGGCCCACATCATGATACACGTCATCGAAGGTGAGCAACTGTTCGCAGTGTGTTCTCCCAACTCCCTGTTCGTTAATCCTCTGATTTCTAGATATCAAATAGTTTCGTAATGAACAAATTAACTGGACGATTTGATAAATGCAGTGCTGATATATAATGGTAACGGTACAATTCGGTATAATTCGATCTTATCTGAATTATTTGGTATTTGGTATTATTTTGATATTATTTATGAGAATTTGCGAGTTCAGATTCGAAGAAAGATATAGAAATTTAAATTACGCGTATTTGCACATAGTGAACTTTGATTGTTTTTCGCGAGAAATCTCAAAGATGCTCATCTTTATGCTTCATCTTTCTGCTCCATTTTATTGCATTATTTCGATCGAATCTTTGGAAAGAATCTTCCTCGTCGATCATCGAAACCGAGAACCAGCCCTCTTCCTTCTCATACTATTAGGGCGACGTTTATTTATGCCTTCACGTATAATCTCGCGTGAAATCTGGATTCGGATAAAAACAGACGTTGCGTCAAAATATAGGGCAAGCTTTATAGGCCGTAAAATCCACGAACCATCGTCAATCTCAGAGAATCGCGATATATAAGACCAGTCTTCCATTTTTTAGTTTCAGCGGGAAGGTTATCCAATAGCCTACTTCGGCTATTCAATCCCGGTTAGGATCAACGTCTACCACGTTGGAAGCTTTCTCATGTATTAGGTTAAAAAATATAAATGCATGATATAAAAACATGCGCGAAGCACGATCTATACGTAATAATTAGTATTATAATCGATGAATAAGGAAGATTTTAGTCGCGGATAATTTTTTTATTCGCAGGAGTGAACATTTTTTTTTAATCATATTTTATATTATCTGCCACCATAAATTAATATATTTTCTTCATTTCATTAATGTTGTGCTTATTTTTAATAGCATATTCTCTAAGTTTGATGTGCTGTGACTTAGAAATGAAAAATATTTATATGACGTATCTCGAACAGAGCGCAATTGATAACAAATAAAAAAAAATCAAAGTTTGGCTAGATATTTCCGAAACATTCTGTCCGTTCAATTACTTTTCTCTCGATTGCGTTTGATCCCATCAAGGAATCTCATCTATTTTCGCAGAGGAGGAAAAACCAGCAGCCATGCACGGAGCAGGCGATCGACGAAATTCCACGGCGGCTACGTCAAGCAACACCATACTGACTCTCATGGCTTTCTTGATTATTGCAGACGTAAGACGATATCTTCAGATAATCATCCGTTATGCCACGTGACTATCGCAAACTGTCACTTTCGCAAAACCGAAGCTCATCAGGAGAAATTCGAATAATTAAAATCTAAATCTTATCCTAATCTAAAATTAAATTCCTTTTTGTCAATGATTTGGAACTTGATAAGACTCCACTTGATGAGACTTGATGAAACTTGATGAGAATCAAAAATCACGACCTTTATCTATTCCTCGCAAAGTGAAGCTTTCTGGCAATGAAATCCAAACGTTCGCGAAAGAAGATGTGACAGATTTCGCGTGGGATCAAAGAAAAACCTATTTGCGAATAAACTTAAAGCGAGAGATTCAACTGCAGACAGTTTTCCGAGAATCTGTATCCCCAGTGGCGAAATCTAAGGAGGACTGCAAAGTTTCACGTAATCATGTAACTTTCGTTTAAAGAAACGTCTTATCCAAGTGACACTACTTGATAGAAACTCTGCTTGAACTCGTAACGAGTGAATAATATTCGTGGAATGAGATTTGGTCGTCTTTCGACGTGGACGAATTTGTTCGCGAACTTCAAGAACCAAGTTGCTGTCTTATGGTCGTTGGTCATCATAAACTCTCGCGCATTGAAACAGAAATCTTTTTCGTGAACTTATCACTTTTCACCTCTAATAAAATATCTTCGAAATCTAGATTTTATTAACCGCTTGAGGTGTGAATATTATTAAATTTTTTCTTTTTAAGTTATTTCAATCTCTTTTACGTTTTCAATCTTAAAACATGCTTCGATAAGTAATTTTGATATAAAAAAATAACATGGAAAGAAAATGCAATTTTCTAATATATTAATATTATGAAACAGTAGAATATTTGTGATGTAAGGAAACGAATTTTTGAATTCCGATAAAATTTAAAATCTTTTCAGAGATTTTCACATTTCGTGAGTATTACATTCACAAATGTATTACATCTTCGCGAATGAATTTAGTGATGAAATCTCGTCGGGAGGCTGCCAACATTTCATCATGGGAATCAAGTATTATTTGCTCCTTATAAGTTTGGCGAGTTTCTAGCAGTTTGATGCAAATGGGATATTGAGTTCTGTAAACAAAAGTTGTGCTTAGTACCGTCGTTCTACGTAACTTCCATCAATGTTGACGATAATAAACTCTCACAATCTAGCATTGTAAATATTATGTAGGGTAAGATAACAAAAATTATCTGATTCATAGGTTTGATTTTAAGCACATGCATTTGCGTTTGAGACATCATTCTGAAAAGATTGATCGCGTGCAACGTGATTACACGATCGATTATAACAAAATTACAATCGAAATTGTGTCCATAAATAAACTGCCAATCCGTAGCTCAATCACAGATAGGAAATATTTTTACCCGCACGATTTACACGCACATTCCCAAAGTGATCCTTCATTACAATACTTGTATCTGCTGCATATTAAAAAAATACGTAAGTACCAGTTCAAATCATCTTATTTCTTATGTGTACGATATATAATATTATTGTTATATAAATTAAATAAATATACCAACTTTTATCAGTAGATGTTCCAGAAAAAGATCAAGGCGAATAATAAAAGAACTAGAAATAAAGTTTTAAGTGTATTGATTTATATTATTTTATTATAATTATAAAAAGACATGAGATAAAATATATAATACTTTAAAAACTTATCACATCAATTATTCAGATCAGAAAATAATTGATAATGCATGATGTTAAGAAAGCACAATTAAATTTCAACAATGTCATAATGTATTTCGACATCATGATGGCTGATAAATATAATATGCATATGTGTCCGTACAACTTAGAAAGTCATTTTTAATGTATGTATGTATGTATGTATGTATGTGAAATAGCGTATTATTTTGTGGAAACTCATTAACTATTTAGAATCATGGCTTCATTTTGAAGTTCTACACTTTTATTTTTATATATCGAAATTAAACAAATTGAGATATCAGAGTCACACAGAATTATAAATACTATTAAATATCTCAATAATTAATGAGGTTCCATGGATAATATACCAGCTTTACATACACTTTTTAATGATCGTTACTTTTATATATATATAAAACTAACGAAAAAAAATATTTATTAAATTACGTATTACATTGAAATGTATAGTGTAACGAAATGCCTCTTACGAATTTTACAAAGTTATAAAATTATTCCTTTTAATATTTATGATTTTATTTGTGCGAATAACAAATAAAATATTAGAATTATGAATAAGATAAGTATTAAAAATAAAAAAGTGATATAGACCAGTAACAAATGCAAAAACAAATAAATTATTTAATAAATTATTTTATAAATTTAATTTTCAAAATACGAATATTTCAATAATTTGTTAATAAACATTTCTTTTTTGTTAGATTCTAATTTATTAAAAAATTATCATTGAAATTTTATAATCTTTCCTTACTGTTTCGTTAAAATTAAATAAATATTTTTTAAATAAAGTTAATAAGAAGAAAGAGAAATCTATTTAAAAATATTGCGTTATTATTATCTTGAAGAGAGATAAGTAAAAATAATGAATAAACATTAATGAAAATTAGTTTTCAGTAAACAGATAATTTAGCAACTACGTTTTGTCTCTGCTGTCTAAAGCTCATTAAACATGCGAAACAATAGAATAGTAATTTGCAAAAGAATGGCAATCGCTCAAACAATCCAGACAAAGTAATCCAACTTAAAACGCTTCGAAAAGTTCCGTGTAATTTATCGGTAAATTCCGACAAGCGTCTACAAGTGAAAGTAAGTTGAAGACCCATGATTGAAAAGAAAACTCCAAGCGTTTCGCTCGTTTGTCAAATCGTAGCTATCCGTGTAAATCCGAAGTTATAATGACGTCTTAAGTACGTCTTAAGTAAGAAGAAAGGATTACTTTAAGAAACAATTATCATTTGCGCCCATAAATACACAAAAGACAATTACAAATTTGCAGAAAACTGACGAGAAAATATTTTCTATAAAAATTATTTGTCATCAATTAATAATAGTTAGACTAAAGAAAAACTTTTTTTAACTGTAGTAGTCGTTTTTACTTTTCGATTCATTCTAGTTGCTAAATGTGTCACAATTCGTCTGTGTATTGAAATCGTGAAACGTATGTTGGAATTTCATGTTTAGAAACGACCACTAAATTTTAATTACATGCTAACTTATAATTATTATAATGCGCGATTGCATCGCTGAGGACTCATTAGATTCAGATTCACCGGCATTCGATTCGTGCACCGGGGGTTTCCGGTTAATTTCGCAAATTAAGGATACATCACGCGTCGATGAAGCGTTAGCGCAATTACGGTCACATGATAATTACAGTTGCATTTTCGGGTTCAAGCTGCTCCTGCGGTTTCATTAACGCGAGAGGCGCTAAGTATGTCGCTAACCATTGTGACTGTTTTAATATCGCGATATTAATGTCGCTCGAATGTCTCTCGAAGTCTGCTTGAGAAGATTACAGGACGGGCCCATGGCATGTCACAGTGACACAAACCGAAACGCTTTACCCTCACTAAGCGGGGAATGTAATAATCCTCTTCGCCTCAATAATACCTTCACCTGTGTAACGAAGACATTCGCAGGATTAAACGCGCTCTATCACAAAGCGTTTAATAATTATCGATCAATGGGATGTGATTCAACGATAATAGATTCGAGTATCTAATACCTAATATATCTGGCGGGGATATACGCATGGATAGGAAATAGATTGATATATCCGATTCCTCGATGATTTAACGGAATTACGAAAGGATTTGATTGAATGAAACTTTCGATTTCAATTCGCAATGTTACATAATTAATGATTGTCATAATTGTACGGGCGTTAATTAGTCTTCTCGAAACGAGAAGTTTAATTTTTTTCGAAATTTTTTTGCCGAGAAAATATCGTCGCGAAAAATATGGAACGTCGACGTAATCGCTCCGATAAGTCGTGATCGTTATTACGCTCAGATCGTCGAGAATTTTTGGAAAATTAAATTCTCGTTTGTTAAAAACTTGTTTGTCCTCAAAGAGAATGGATGGCGAATAATTTATTTTTTCAGATAGTAGCTTCCTCCCATAGTAGCTTCCTCCTGTACGATGCGCGACTATTTTCTTATTTAAATTAACAACTTTAATTGCCGTATAACGTTTGATCGCGGAAATAAAACTACAAAGCACAATTGCTCTCCCTTTCTCTCACCTTCTCATTTTTTCTGTTATCGCGCCGACACAAATTACACACGTACAAATCGACGTGCTGACCGACAAAAAATATGTCGCTCTGTTACACCACCCATAAATTTATCGGAATATGTAACGCGAAGCTATGTGAGTTATTTCCCAAAGATTTTTGTTTCACCATAAAGGCTCTTGAACTTGATAGTTTATATAAATATGATATAATTACAAAGAGATGACATAATAATATTTTTTGTGGATTTTTTCTGTCTGAAAATTATATTTATATTAACAAGGAATATACATGTAGCTTTTAAAAAATTGTATTGTTAAAAAAATGTTATTTTCTACAATATTTTCACACAAAAATTCTATATAGAACATTATAAAAAAATATTTGATCGCGTGAGCGATTTCAAGAGTAAAATATCTATATTATACAAAAATTTATAACGGTCCTTTAAAAAATCTAATGCTAATTTGGCATGATATTTTCTTTGGAATAAAATATCTCAAAGTTATTTTCAATGTATCTATTCTCGAAATCATTTAATTCCGTCCGCCACGTAAAGAAATCCATTAAAAGCCTCTCACGTTGTAATTGATACCATTAGCTGAACGGTAGACAATCCGATAGATCCGGACAGCTCGATACAACGTATGCCGTCCTCGTTCAATGGTAATAGAACCTCGAGTAATTAAATGGATGGTCGTGCCAGTCAACTTCTTTCCAGGGTCACTTTCAGTGCTTCCTCTACAAAATCAGGATGCTATCTGTCGCAGCAAATTCACCTGACGCAAAGCTCCTTTTGCCGTGGGAATGTGCGCTGCTAAGATCACGATTCGAATGTACTTACTTTAACAAATGTCAAGAAGAGAAAGATGAAGAAAGGGAAGGAAATCGCGCCGTCTCGTAAAGATAAAAAATTCTTTTGCATTGTTAATTCTATTTCTGGTTTAATTTATGCAAATATTCCAAGCGGAGAGAGAGAGAGAGAGAGAAACGATCTCGTGCGTCATTCGTACTCTTGTTGCAGTAAAATGAAAAATGGCGTGTACAAAATAGCATCGTTTAAATTTTTGTACATCATAACGAATTTTAACCGAAATAAAATTAAACGCAAACATGTTCTATTTAATCATCCTACAGAATGCTCCCGTAATTTAAGTCACCAGAATTTACGACTTGCTAAACTATTGCTATTTGATAATTTGAGCTACCACCGTCCCAGTTCCGAAGACACTTAAATCCCCGGATATAATCGAGTTAGGTTCTTGAAAATTAAATTGCGCCCCGATCTTCGTCCATAGTACAATTACTCACGGGGATGGAATCTATCAATTTCATTTGGAATCTATCATATTAAAATCAGCTTTATGATTTAAAAAGAGCAGAATTTTTTTTTAACTTTCGATCGGATTCGAGTTTGCGCGTAGAGGGGCGGAATACGCGCGAAAATACGCGCGACGCGCGTCCCAAAGTGGTGAAAAGCTTTGCAAACGGGGGGCGAGATATCGCCTCGATGGCAGCGGATATAAAAAAATCGGCTTGACTTTTCGAGCGGAAGGTCGAAAGGACTGTTTCACCGGACTCTATTAGCGCATACAGGTTTAATTGAAACGGGCACGCGGGTTTAGTGCAACGTTGCCCGCGCGCGTTTGACTTAATTGAAAAGCTACGCGATCCGAGAAGTACTTCCGAGAGTAATAAACGAACAGACGAGCGGAATGTTCGAGTTCTCGATGTGAATATACTTATGACCGGTTCGCGTGTGTTCGCCCGTAAAACAACCTATCGCCGGTGAGATTAATCCCACTGTTAGACTCTCGCTCATTCCGATACGTCCTTTGCATGAGCAAAGTTCACGAGGGTGCGACGTGAGAGAGAAAAGTTCAGTTTACCATTCGCGATAAAGGTCTCTTTTTATTCTTATCCAAATTTATTCTTTAAACGGGTAAAATGATGTTAATGTCCAAGAAAAAAAAAAAAACAAGTCGAAAGAAAAAAATAAATCTAATAGATAAAGGGCTTGTATAGGAAGTTTAAATTTATTAGTATTCGTCTATCGCCTAGTCTTCAACATCGCGAGACATTTGACGCAATAATCGTATTAATTACATTTAGAATATTTATCTGATAATACTTCTATTCCCGTATTCTGATCTTATCAATTTTCTTTCTTATGCTTACACAGATATCTATATGATAGATATCATATTTTTTTCTTGGACAGATGTCGAGGATTAAATTAAATTTTAATATGCTAATGAATATTCAGCAAAGAGAAAGAGATAATTTTAATGGAATTGACCATGTAATGAGATTTTAAATAAGATTAAATGATATTCTTTCAAGTAATTTGATATTTCACGTATGCTGAACCGTTAATTAAATTAAATTTAATTA